TCTACACTTTCAAAACACCCCCCTATTTACATAACAGACTCACTTTCAGAACAAATGTTCATAATCTGAATATTCGACAAAAAACCCTTCTTCGTGTGCCGAGACATGAAAAAATTATTTATAAACGCTCGGTCTCTTATGGTTTGGCAGTCTGTGTCAACAATCTGCACAGATCAGATCCTTCACTGCTATCATTTTCTACCGAATCATTTAAACTTAAATATAAAAAATATCTTTTGTCCACGCAGAAATGATCTTACAAATCAACTAATCTATGTTGTTACTCACTTTCCCTATCTTTTTCCTTTTCTCCTTGTCGCTCTCTACTTTTTTCCTCTCCCTCTTGGTTCCTATCATTTTCTTTCAAAATATCGTTTCTTTACATTTAAGTTATCATTTGCTTCTCAAATTTCTTTCTTCAATTTCTCTGGCACTGGTGGAAGAACAGGGGTGGATTAGTCCACAACTGAACCAGTTATAGCCATTTATCCACTTGAATTCTGTTATATTACGTACCCTGTACTATTTATATTTTTTGTGGATGATAAATGTATTATTACTATTATTATTATTATTATAATTATATCATCCTCTTATACCGGGTATCCCAGTATACCTGTTCCAATGGATTATCTCAGTTATTTCGAAAGTAACAAATTTGGAAATTTCATGATCTCCAATTCGTTCAAGGAACCTTCAACTGAGAGAAACGGAAATTGAAAGTTTGACCGGAAGTGACTCTAACTTCTTCATTTCAAATAGCACACTGTATGTTTTTTTGAAATTTTTGCTTTCTACTCAAAATTACCTTTCCTACGATCTATCACACTTTGCATTTCACAATTGATTTGATAGGGAAAACGAAAATTGAAATTTGAAATCGAAAGAATTGCAGTAGACTTCGATATTTTGTGTACATAATGATTTGTTCCTCAATAATTGATGATTCATGAACAATTTTGCATTCGCGATGATGAAGAGAACGTCAAATTCCAGATTATTATAGAATTAGGTATAGTAGAACTGGAAGAATTAATAATTCCTAAATGAAAACCTTAGTGTGCCATGGAAACATTTGAATACATTTGTTTGTATCTTTGACAGATGATAATTCTCAATGGTTGTGTGCGAGATTTCAGAATAAATAACCGTGAAAATGATATGAAAACTTATTCACAATTCAAGTGAAATTGAATATGATACTGATTTTAATTCCAAATTTCAATTTGTCGTTTTATTTATCATGTCAAATGTAAAATACAAATTGTGATACATCGTTGGAAAGGCAATCCTGAGTAGAAAGCAGAAGTCGCAAAAAATATACAGGGTGCTATTTGAAATGATGAAGTTCGGTCAAATCGAAAGTGACTTTCAATTTTCGTTTTTCTCAGTTAAAGGTTCCTTGAACGAATTGGAGATCATGAAATTTTCAAATTTGTTACTATCGAAATGACTGAGATAATCCATTGGACCAGGTATACTGGGACACCCGGTATACATGATGGAATACTATAAAGGGTGGACAAATATTTTGGCAGATCCTTGGATAGGTCGATTTTTATTATCAAAAATAATATTCTTCTTGTAGAATTCACAATTCACCTGCCCCACAGATCATTGCCTTCAATTTTCCTGAATCGTAAAAAGTGTAGAGAGGTATTCCGAATATCTATACAACTGTCAATTCCTTTCTCAATTCAGTCATATCCACAACAAAACAAAAAGCCGAAAGTAAATTCATTGAAATTTTTATTGAAATTATTGAGAATGAAAGGTACCGTTTAATTGAATATATGGGCGTATATAGATGGATATTCAGTACAAAAAACTAATTTTGAATGTAGGTAGGTGAATCAACTCTGCAAGTAATATGAAATGAATTATACATCAATTTTGTATGTGTTCAGCATGAAAATTGATTTCAAATGTGGGTGAATTTTTTTTCCCAGTAGTACAACTAATTGTGCATTTATTTTGTACGTAGCAGTTGAAGATCAAGTGTAAATAAAAAGCTTCTTCACCTATGATTCGTAAAAATATTCCGATGAATTTAAAATCTTCGTACTGCTTTCTGTTTGACAAGTTGTAAGTTGACACCTTGATGAACTCCAACAATGAGGGGTTGATATGCAGAGGGGTTGACAGGTGATTTGGAATATTGATGAAAGAAAAAGTTCCCATAAATGAAAATCGAGTAGTTCAAGGATTTTGTTTAATATGTATATTTCTATTATGGAAATGCGGATTTTATACTTTCCCACACTGTATATTATGGTCACCAACACAAAAAATGATATATTTATATTGATGTTGGCGAAAGTCATATTCACATAAAATGTCTAGACACTTCATGATATGTGTGATTCCACTATTATTCAACAATATATGCATCACCTCATGCTGAAAACTAGATATTTTTGATGAGTCTATGCTATTCATTTTGTTAGACAAATTCTCACGTTAATCAGTAATCGCTCAACTTGATATATTCTTCGACAAATAGAAAACTGAATCTGGTCTGGCCAACAAAACAAAATTTACCCCACTCACACAGAATCGTACCTACCCCACCTTATCATTTGTCGTATCGCAATTCCATATAGATGAGTGATTTTATTCAAACATGGGGAGGCATTGTTCATTATAGATAAACAAAAGTAATTGTTTTTCTAAAATGAGTATCTACCTGAACAATAATCAGAAGGAAGAGTATCATTGTTGGTTATACATATACATATACAATCAGAACTACATCAATAAATACTTCTTGATCCCTATACAGGTTCTAAGCGTTCTAGCTTATACATATATACATTTGATTTTTCAAGCGAGAGTCTACAGATATGAGTAGAGCGTACATTCGATTCTGAAATAAAAAAGGATCATTGAAATAGTCGATCACTTCGGCTTCAACAGTGATGGCCTCAATATTTTGAGTCAATCACTTCTAACAAAAAAAAGGAGGTTCAAGTACAATTTGAACGCGGCATCTCAGCGTATCAGGCCAATGCGATTTGCAGTTTTTAGTTGAAATTGGATATAACTAGTGAGGTACGTAGTTTTTGAAAGGTATCAGATTAGTATAGATGTAGTTTTCATTAGGAATTAGATTAGTATAGAGTTCAGATAATTCATACGACGTTATAAAAGCAGATGATATTTTATCATTGCTCTATAAGATGGAAGTAGAGGCCATGGCACCATATCATGAGCATATTTTTTCATATTGAAACTATCATTGAGCACCAATGATGTGTATACGACGCTATGAAAGTTCAGAGAACTGGAAACTACGTACTTAGCCCACTCGACTGTCTTGGTTTTTCCACACAAACTACGTACCTAGCCCACTCCACTGCCAATAGGGACTGAAGAAACAAAAACAAAAGAAAGTTGAAACAATGCCAACATATCTCTTCTTTATGGGAAATCAAGACAGTCGAGTGAGCTAGGTCCGTAGTTTGTGGGAAAAAATCAAGACAGTCGAGTGAGCTAGGTACGTAGTTTGTGGGAAAAAATCAAGACAGTCGAGTAAGCTAGGTACCTAGTTTATTGGCGAAAAATAAAGACAGTCGAGTGAGCTAGGTACGTAGTTAATGATGAAAAAAATCAAGACAGTCGAGTGTGCTTTTTTTACTTTCTTTTGTTTTTTGTTTCGTTTTCTATTGGCAAGTGATTATCTAGGCGAACTTGTAATTTTTTTAGTTTCTTCGTCGTATCTCCCGAACTGTTGAATTCAGAGAAAAATGTTATTAGGATTTTTTGTAGATTTCATCAAAAAGTTAATTTTGGTTTCATAACATTTTCAGATATTTCCAGTTGTCTTCGAGATATTTGGAATTATCTGAGAATAAGATTTTCAACACTTTTATTAATTTCATCTTTCAATAAACAGAAGGAAGAACATTGCATGGTTAAGTGGAATTCGATGAGCCTCATCTATCGATAATCTTTGTTTTTCAATATATCTCCATGGTAATCTATGGGTCGTTCAAATTTTTTTTTTTCATATTTTCTACTCCATTTCCTGTACTTTTGGCTTCACAGAAAAAATTATGAGTAATAATTTGTAGGATATGTTTCAGTGGATAACTTTGCACTCTTGATAATTATCGATTTTTCCATTTGTTTTCGATATATATTGATTTGAAAGGATTTCAAATTTTGATGTTTTAATTTTCATTTGTTTTTCCATTTTCCGATGAATGCATGGAAAAATGGTGATTTAATGATTTGTTGCGTCATCAAAGAGGCATATGGTGCATTTTTCGAATTTGGATTTAGTCTATTGGTTCAGGAGATATGTCGTTTTAAAGCGAACCGTGTGTTTTGGAAAATCTCCTTGAAAAACCAACTTGGAATTTTTCGACCCTGCTCAATTTCGATAGGCTTCGTCTCTCCCTGATAGAGTTTATTTTTCACATAAAATGAAATCGATCGGACCACTTTCGAGATTTGTAGAGTGGTTACAAGACACTTCCGGTGAAAACTCGAAAAAACCCGGAAAAACCACCTCAGAATTTTCCGATTTCCTTCATATTGCAATGACATGATATTGTTTTGAGTACAATAAGTTGGCGAAATGTCAAGTCGATATGTCAAAGGGTTCCGGAGATATATCCATTCATGATTACCACAGAGTACAGACAGACAGACCACACACAAAAACCAAAGTTGCTTTCGATGGGGATCATTTTCTCCAAAGTAACTATACCTCTATCTCGCTTAGTTTCCGAGATAGCATTTTTGACAAGGCCGTAGCCACTATAGGTATAGCGTCGAATAACAATAAATGTTATAAAAAACACACAATAGTTGATATCCTGTGGATAAATGTACTTCTGATGAATTTATTCAAAACAAAACAATACAAAAGGCATAAGAATGTCTCATCATACGCAACCAAAAAGTCTATACGTTGGGTTTGATTCGTGATTTGAATATGGAGGAGTATTTTTATCTATCCAAATCCACCATTAGGATCAGAAGTCAATATAGGTATTATTGAATCTTCGGGAAAATCAACATAATTGCTTCACTGCGAATAAGGCAATGATCATTTTGATAATATATACGCCTAATTCACTCCAATATTCTCCTGATCTGAAATACTTGACTCCTGGGTCGAGTTCTCGATTATGTTTTTGAAGTCACTTCTCTCCGACTCGGCACACTCTAGAATCCAATCAGATATATCGACTGTAATGGGCTCCATGAGAGATTTGAAAGTTTCATAAGGACAATCGATCATACATTCAGCAATATTCAATTCAATCAAAATATTTTCATCTTTTCGATAAAATAGATGCACGAAATGGGCTCCTTCCTCATTCCTCCTGAGTTCCCATAATAATGTTGCTCCAAAATTAGGTGGATATAAATCGTAAACACCCATGGCATCTAATGCTGAAGCCAAGGAAGTGTCATGACCAGAAATGAACAGAAATTTCGGAGCTCCTTCAGTTGAATTTATAACTCTATCGAAGTGGGAGAAGATATAATAGAAAAATGGGCCAGTTCTCAACCTTTTCAGCTCTACTGTTCTACTATATCGTTGAAAGGCAACTCCAGTTAAAAAGTCTAAGGTGAACTTGTCTAACGATTTAGTCCACTCTGGTATGTAAGAGATGTTGTAATTCTCCTCACAGTACAACATCGAACGGAGTCGTTTGATTTTACCTATATCTTTCACTTTCCATCCACTATGCTCAGAAATATATGCGAATAAATGGGAATACTGTTCATTGAGCCGTTTGTAATACGTGGAATCGACGACCTCATCATAAAGTTTTTTATATCGTGGGCATTTTCTTTTGACTGTTATTATATCGTCTTCCTTTCTTGCGCTGCTGTGGATTGGTATTGGTTGCCATTTGAGATCAGAATTCCAAATTTGATTGGCTACAGGTGGATAGAGTCCTGCTAGGTTTGCGGCCGCTGACATGAGTGAACGGTCGGTATCTGTGGAGTATATGTAGATATCATTTGGTGAGTATTCTGTGCTGATCAATGAGTCATAGCGGGATCTCAACCATTGACCAAGTTTGTAGTGACGAAGTTTTCCTTGCTGAAAAAGTTTGTAGTGATCAGGAAATCGATTATCCAAATTAGTCGCTATTTATAATAATAATAAACGCTTTTATTGATAGACAGAAAGAACAAAACAAAAATACATTAGAGGAATGATAATCAAATCTCACCAAAATTTCGTGGGCCATATTTATCCACCTATTCATTTATTTAATACATAGGTTACCCAACAGTGTATTGAAACTGCAATTATAGGGTTACACATTTCACATTATATAGAGTGTACACTTGATGAGAATAGTTGAACAAAATGATAAAAGAAGATTTAAATAATTCTATATATAGGTATGTAGCGTTCTTGATGGGCCAATAGTGATACTTTCTATTTATAATAACCATCACAGTTATGAAATGTTCATATAGAAAAACGGAGAAAGAAAAGAAAGAAAAAAATAATTCCCAACTAGGGAAGTATACATATACATGCTTATATTTTGATTTCGACTGAATCATCATCAAACACATTTGTAGCTTCCTTTCTGACTGTATAGATGGTGCTGCTGAATAGGTCAATGTGACTGAAGTATGAGTTGTACGAGTTCTGAGTCATGTCGAGAGGTGAATTTGTTGCATAGTTGGTTGTGAGAGATGGTAGGTGAAATAAGTTAGGTGCGCGAGTGACGTGAGTGAGAGCATTGAACGAGAGCCTATTGACTATATAATTATTTTCTATTTTGTTGTTTATGATTTTGAACAGGAATAGTACATAACTAACGATTCTACGAGAAGAGAGTTTAGAGAGTTTGAAATGTTCTAATCGACTTTCATAGGATGAATTTATTAGGGGTCTTTCGAACTTGAGAAACAATAAATTCATGAATCTTTTCTGAACTCTTTCTATTCGTTGAATGTATTTATGGTACCGAGGGTTCCATACTATCGAGGCAAATTCTGGATGACTTCTCACAATGGGAGTTATATAACATAATGAATGTCTTTGGATTCATGAATGGCTTAGATATTCTTGTAATGAATCCCAAATTAATCAGAGCTCTCTTCACTATTATTTCAATGTGAACTTCAAAGGTTTGTTTTGAGTCTATCATCACCCCAGGTCTTTGATGCATTCTACTTCGTCCAGTACATCATAATGAATTTTGTGAAATTGAACTTCTTTAGTTAGTCAAGGAAATTTGATGTAATGACATTTGCTTGTATTTAAATAAAAATAATGTGTGACACAGTAGTCTCCTAAATTGTCTTTATCTTGTTGGAGTAATTGGCTGTCAGGCTGTCTATTGGACCGGATATTGATTTGAACACTTCCAGGTCGTCAGCATAAAGTGCGAAGCGTGAATTCCCAAAGCATTCACCAATGTTTCGAATGAAGAGATTGAAGAGCAAGGGCCCTAGGTGGGAGCCTTGGGGAACACCTGATGTGACTTTGACGGGCAGTGATGAGTAATTATTGATCTTGACAACTTGGGATCTATCACTCAAGTAGGACTCATTCCACCGAAGTAGTTTGCCACGTATACCAATAATCTCCAACTTAACTAATAGAGATGGATGGTGTACTTTGTCAAATGCTTTGGAGAAATCCGTATTCAGGGCATCCACCTGATTTTTTGTACTCATAATATCTACAACTTCCTGTGTAAATGTGACAAGGTTTGTAACTACTGGACGGTTTTGGAAACAGCCATGTTGGCTTTCGCTAATTAGGGGCTTGGTTTTGAAAATTATCTCGGAGGTTATTATTGCTTCTAACAATTTACCAGGAATAGAAAGCATAGATATAGGTCGATAATTTTTGACAATGGTTTTTTTCCCTCCTTTATGTACTGGGGTCACTTGAGCCTGACGCCAAATATTTGGGAAAATACCCTCAGAAATGGATTTGTTGAATATGATGAATAGTGGTTGTGCTATTGTCTATGAACTTTTTAAATTCGAAATTTCCAGTGACGTTCAATCAGCATGTGTGATTCTGTCATATAGATGACATGAAAAATAATTCGCGAGATGAACTATACAGATTCTGAATAAAATATATCACGAAAAAATATAAAGATTATTACGAGATATTATACCTACAATTCAGATTCAGGGTGTGATAATTGAGGAACTGGATGAATTGATTTGACGTCACTTAGATGTATTATATGAGTTCTCTAGTGATATCAAAGCAATAACGTGATGAAAAGTAGTAAAATCACAAACGAATGCAATGAGTTCAAGTTTATTAATAAAAATGTGAAGAACACACCAAGTTCAAAAGAGTATCATGAATGATACCTGATATCAGAGGAAGGCCAAGAATTATTCAAGAGACTAGTTTGGAACTGAACAATTCTATGAATTGAGAATGGAAAAAATGTCTAATGACTATACTGCAATCTAGTAGACAATTCATGGTATTGTTTATATGTATAATATTCCATCTTCTTGATGAAGGTTAGGGGGTTGATGAAGGTTAGGGGAATGTTAGACCACCTGCCAGTCGAGATAGGAATATATCCGGTGCAGTTTATATAAATTACTCTGTAGAACTGATACTTACATTCGTCAGTTGTTCAAAACCCATTGGCCAGTACGACGTATTGAAAAATGTATCTTTTGGAAATGATTTGGAAGGTGATCTGTCTCCATGTCTCGTCAACTGAAAGATAATAGTCATTTATACATCATGGTAGTGAGGAATATCATTATCACTCAGGGACCAAGATTATATCTCGAGACATCAGCCAAGGAGCTTGAGGTCCCGTGGTGATATTATATTTCACTACCAAGGTTGATATAAAATTTTTTTCACAATTAGCAATATATTTCAATCATTTCAGTTATGTGGAACCAAAATATGGACCTGATGTCAATATAAAAGCACGTATTTTCAATACTTGTCCATGACCATGACAGCATGTGACTAGTTAATATTGATGAATACCTACTAGATTCGAGTGCCATTCCTGCGAATATCAGAACAGAGCATTCGGAATAATTATCCGGATAATTACAACAGAGGTGGCTTTGTCTTTATTGACTTCTGGTTCATGAAATGACGAAAACTACCTTGGTAGCAAAAACACACATTATGCCTCGAAACGGAATGAATTATGGTAGGTTTCATGGCTAGTGGTGAAGAAATCACAAATGAATGGTCTGATTGAGTTGATGCATCATTTGCGTGGTGGGTTTGCAGGCATCTCACGAGCTGAAGATTGTGAGATTTGGTGGGTGCACGAGCATGACTCAGAGCTGATATTTTTCATCAATTCAATGAGCTATGAATCATATATCTTATAGCTCATGATGATTAGATGATAGCGTTGCATTGTGCATGATATTCCATATTGCAACTAGTGGTTATATCAGATTTAATACTAACGAAATATAATAGAGATGAAAATTCAAACTGGAAACAGCATTGTGAGATTCTAGTCTCAAAATTGCAGTCAGTAGCCAATGAATTTAAAAATTTGCGGAACATTCTCGCCACCGAGCAACTTTGGATGGTGTATTAGGCAGAGGTAGAATCACGATTGCGCCATTGGATCTGGTTTTGGGGTTGGTCTACGAGCATTAAAGACGTGTTTTTGGCCCTTAAGTGCGTAATAAGGAGTATCGCTGGTGTGAAAAACACTGAGTCATGCATTTTAGAACTCGAAATATTGGCCTCAAATGAGCAAAAATGTCGCATGCGGTAAGTACTTCAATTCAATATTTTGTCATTGATTGATATATTACGCTTACGCCAGCGTGAGCGTAATATACGATGTTGTGCTGTCCGCCTCTTCACCCTAAATTTTTTCTCCTGTCGATGCCCATGGTCACTCGGTATTACTAAGAAAAATAACAGCTGATGGATTTCTAATGATATCATCCCAGAACCTTCTGGCTGTCTGAATAACAAGATGAAGTTCTGAGTCAGCGACCTCTCAATTCTCTAAAGATACTTCCACGGGGAATAATACTGATTCCATCACTAGCGATACCAGTCAGACGGACTCGAGAAGGCCAGTCAGCACATCCATTCGTTGTCAGCCTTGAGATATGCCGAACAACACTTTACCAACACTCGTTCGTCTGTATAGAACGGCAGAAGCTTTGGGATTCTTTGCCGATGAAAATAGTCCCAAGAACTTATAACTCCCAAAAGATCGAAGAGAATTCCGATACCTATACCCCGTTTCCCAATCCTCCCTAAGTTCGCACGATTTTCTTCGAAAATTATAAAAATTTCCTTTCGGGCACTCGGAGAGATGGAAAAAAAATGAAGGTCACTTAACACTCAAGTTTCATATCTAATTATATTATATTTGGGTTTGAAGTGGCCTATTGAATATTTAACTATGGCAAATTCTTACCGCTATTACAGAAACCAACTTATCATCAATATTTCGTGACTGTGGATAACTGTTGATCACGTTATAACAGTTAACCGAGTTCCAGCAAATTATCATGAGCACTATGATAATACTCATTTTTCCTCTACATGTACTATCACCAAAAGACGGAAAGTGACTGTCATCATAGATATTATGTCTGAATACGTTCGTGAATTACATTCGATATGATAAGAAAATCTACTAATGAATAAACGTGATGATTCATGAAGGCCTTATATATGATTTATTATAGCTTATAACATGATGTGGATCTCGTTAATTGAGCCCCTTCATTATTGTTCATACAGGGTGCTTGGTTTTTCGACGTATATCTGAAAGGTGGTGATAGGTGGGATGATTTTGAACATATTTAACCATAAACACTATTATACAAAGTGTTCCGCTTTTTGAGATATCATCGATTTTCAGAATTTGCTCGAATTTGATGAATAGGTCCACATGAGTTATAATAAAAGTGTTGTCAAACATTTTATCTCATTGAATATTTTTCCCCTGTGAAGTAGAGTCTCCAGTTGATCGATGTAAAGCACTCAATGTGATCTACATGTGATTTCGAAAAAATTGTGGCTCATTTGAATTTACGTAACAAGTTACTGTGATACCCAACTTTGACCTCAAAAGCAAAAAAAATGGAGTTATCTAAATAAAACATTCGTTGGAACATCGTCAAAAACTTCCTTTATCTTCGTCCTGTTTATCAATATATTATAGTCCATCACTACATGCCATTTCTATTATTTCGAGTGTGGTTTATCGATGTGGTGCATTTCCCATATTTTGATTCTCTTCATTCAACATTTTCCTAAATAGAGTAGCTACATTGTTGCTACGCGACAGACAAACTTATAAATCAAAATTTTCTCAGTTGCCAATCATTGTATTTTATTTTGTTTATTTTGTGATATTTTTCAATTTGTCAAATGGCTGATTTTTCGAATGCTGAATATGCTGATATAATTTCCATGTACGGCAGAGCTGACAGCAATGCAGCTGCTGCTCAACGATTTTATCAAGAAAGATTTCCTCAAAGACGAGTACTCCGCGCAATTCACATCAAAAAGATCCTAGAGCAAACAATCAACAACATCACCCTGAAGTGGATCGGCAAATTCTTGAAAATTTTAAAGCAGAGCCCACTAGTAGCACCAGAAAATAGCGAAACAGCTGAATCTGTCTCCATGGAAGGTAGGGTCAGTTGCTCATTCTAAAAAAATGCACCCATAAAAATGCACCCATTCCACTATACTCCCGTGCATGGACTCGAAGAAGGAGACCCAGTTCGAAGAAGCACTTTCTGTCGATTGATCCTGAATGCCGTCATAGACAATCCAACATTCTTACGTAGGATTTTGTGGACTGATGAATCAAACTTTTCTCGTGAAGAGATAAATAACTTTCATAACCTGCACTATCGGGCAGAAGAAAACCCCTATGTGAAGAAGCAAATTTCCTTTCAACGGAAATTCAGTGTTAATGTTTGGGCATGTATAATAAGCAGAGTTATGGTCGGTCCATATTTTTTGCCTAACAATTTGAATGGTGAAAACTATCTAGAATTTTTAATAGATAATTTACCCAATATTTTGGATGAAGTTCCTTTAGATGTAAGAGGACAAATCATTTATCAAAACGACGGATGTCCTGCCCATTACTGTATGATTGTCAGAGATTTTTTGAATAATCAATTCAGTATTTATTGATATATGTGTTCAAAATCATCCCACCTATCACTCGCTTTCAGATATACGTCGGTGAACCAAACACCTTGTATATTAGATTAAGAAAATAAAAATAGAAATCACATTGTTCTCAAATTGTTCTTAAATTGTTCTTATCCATCATTCAGTTGCCCCCTTACGAGCAACCCTCAGAAGTCTTGAGACTTGTGCGAACAAGGAATGATGGGGGTCTTACCTTTTAACGTGTGATCCCAAACACTTTCTTAGGCCATCAGAAAAATGTCTACGGTCTTGGTGGAAATCGAACCCACCTACCGTCAATCCAACGTGGATAGAACATTGACGCTTTAACCACGAGGCTACGCTGGCCCACTACATTGATTGAACACACGGAGCCAAATAATCCGTATGTTTACAATTCTTCTGAAAAATCATTGAACTTTCAGAGGCCTCTCTTCGAAGACGGACGCAAAGTATGCTGAAATCTCTTAGCCTATCATCCCTTCACTATAGCAATACCAGTCAGACGAACTAGACAAGCCCAGTCAGCACATCCTCTCGTTGTCAACCTCGAAAGATGTCGAACAGCACTTCATCAAAACTCCTCCATCCATAGAACGGCTAGGCTCTGGAATTCATGCCTGAGGAAGAAGTCCCAACAACATACAATCTCCAGAAGTTCGAAAAAAATTCGAATACCTACCTCCTGTTCCTATCCTTTCAGAAACGCTTGATGTTATTTGAACATTATAGGAATTTCCTTTCTTGCTTTTATAAGCGATAAAAAAAGGCGAAAACTTATTGAATGGCCTTGAATAACAGACCTCCAGAAACCAACAATATATTCCATTAGGCTCTTTTCAAACCATTGAGATCTTGCATGATCAACTCTAAGTGTAGAGTGCATAGGGCAACAAGAAAACGATACCATCGTCAACAGAGGAACCTTACTTTGGTATCACCACAAGTGCGACCAAACCAACTATCTAATAATTTTATGTGTATATCACACTATCTTCTTCTGTGACAGACAAAACAATGATTCGAGATTGGGAGGATATTACATCATTATAAAATCAGAGATTTATCGATGTAAAATTCTTTAAAGTTTTCAACTAGTAGTACAACTGTGTTTGCAGGCATCTTCTTGTAGGCATCTTCATTGTTGCTATGGAAACCTTTTGGAGTAATCGAATATGTGTCGATTCAATTCTGTGTTTTGATTTTGAGAAATTCCGAACAGTGATGTTGTTAAGTAATTTACGTAACCGCGAAGTGGAATGGAAGATAAATGAACTCTCAGTTTTCTTGCCTTCCCAGACCATACCCTGCTAATTACGTGCTCATAATTGAATTCAATGGAATCATGTTATGCTAAATTATGTTTCTGAAGCAATGAGAAAGATGATATGGTTAATCCAGAAGAGGACTGTCGAAATAAGATTACGCTGGAGTGTACCCTCAATTTCAACTTGATAACGTAACACTCCACAAAGTAATACGAATTTCATGAAGAGAACACGCTATGATTTCAACATCCCTTATTCATTAAAAAGAGGTTCTTATACTAATACAGTTTGCACAAGAATTTTCAGAAGGAAATAACCTGTCATTCGATTAGAAACACGTCCAAATAGGACAAGTAGTTTTGACGAGAATGTTTCCTGAACTTTTGGCTACTTCGTAGTGGGGATTAATTCCTTGAAGAAGTTCATAATGTAACATAATATCTCGTTGAAACCGATGGAATCGCCAGCGCACTCTTCGGATCTTACACCACTAGATGTTCCTAAAATTTGAAAATTTTCATTGAAAGTGTATATCCATCTAGCTCATCGCCAGGAGGTCAACGGACAAAACTTTGATCACCTACTAATTGAGAAGAACTTTTCTGTGCTTGTTATGTTTCAGTTATTATTGAAGGTTACTCTTACTGTATTCTAAGATATCTCTGTTAACATTCTGAATTAAACTTTTAAATAGTTTATCAATTGACTCGTTGGATAATTCTCAATCAAATGATATCAAAAGTGTTGTTCCATTCAGAATAGATGAGCTAAGAATAATTTTGAAACAACTGGAAACTTGGCAACATATCCGACATAATTTTTCGAGCCGTCACATTTTCAATTCATCCTGCACAAGAATTCACAAATATCTAACGACTGGTTACTCAGTCATATGGATGGTTTCATACATTTGATTGAGTCTTATAGATGGCAAATGATATTCAATTCCGAAACATCCTGCAGCACACACATCTTTTTGTCGACCCCAACCACTCAGTGAGAAATTCCATCGAAATACAAATCATTTCGATTTTGAGAAACGAATTATGTTGATGCGCATAGCGATCATGAGTCAAGAAAATGATGCTTTGCATATTCAGAAACACATGAGAACCAAATATTCGCATCGTTCGAACAAGGCAGCTTTAAAAATAGGCGAATTGAAGAATCAACATTTTTCAACTGGAGTTTATAATCATATTCCAAATTTTATCAACATTTTGAGAATGCTAGTATTTTCAGAACATATCTGATGGATTCTTCAATATTTTTGGATAGTAAAGAAAGCCCTTCGGAACTTTTGGAAACAAAAATGCCTGTTTGGTGTGAAGTGAACCGTTCAACTAGCGTCCTCTTAGAGAGTCATAGATAAAAGTGGATTCATGCGATGTGTTTTCCAAAACATATTAGGCAAAAATTTGAAAATAACGCCAATAGTTTTGATATAATCGTGAATAATGTTTTTAATTTCTTTCACGATCTTCCATCTTAAATGAAGATGACTCATTTTGTAGTGTTCTACCTATTCCAGCAGCAGGGCCTCCTTTCTTCAGAACACAACTCGTATCATTGTGAAAACATCAACTGTCTTCCAATTATGATTATTATAGCAGCAAGATTTGGCGGATTGAGGAAAAAAACAATAGTTATTCATGCTTCTTGATGCTTCATCAAATGAGTCTAGTTCAATTCTACTCCTAGCGACCTCGTCGCATTGCTTGGTAAAACAATTTCGTGAACAAGAGACCCACAAAATCATTTTCAGTATCGATAATGTTGTGATATGACTGTTGAATATTTCCGATTGAATTGGATGCACTAATGAGCAATTGACGTATGAACTCTTCAAATTATCAACATGCAATTTGGATTCACAGGGATTTCTACTATCGTTTTGATCGAACTATTTCACAGCTTACTCAGACAACTCACTAACATTGCTATCGCACCAGGAAATTTATGTTCTGGTTCACACAGACGACGTGGTCTTGTTTATCAGAAGACCCTTTCTAGGATCTGTCTACGACGTCGCACAAAGGGCCCTTGGACCAGTTCATGAATATAGTGCCAGGAGCAGAGGTAAGCGTTAATCCTGAGGATACTGTGA